AGACAGCATGAGCAGGGGAGGGTCAGAGAGAGAGGGAGTCACAGACTGAAACAGGCTCCAGGCTCTGAGCTGGCAGTCAGCACAGAGCCCGACGCGGGGCTCAAACCCACGAACCGCGAGATCATGACCTAAGCGAAAGTCGGACACTTAACCGACTAAGCCACCCAGGCGCCCCTTTAATAGAGAATTCAGATGAACTTTACCTGAATGCAGACGGGTTTTGACAACGGGTGGGGGGGGGGGGGTTGGAAACAGCTTGGCGAAAGCTGTGCTCCAGGCTACGCCTTTAAGAACAGAGACTGGCCCTGCATTTGCTGAGGTTTGGCTTAAACTAGCAGCTATATCCCCTTTGCATCCAAAGCCTGCATTTTGAACTTTGCTCTGAACTGACCCTGGACTAAACACTCGACGGCCTATAATAACCCACTATTTTGCATTCTTGGTGGCCCCGAATCAAATCTTTACTCAACAGATCAAATCACACAGATTCCCAGGTATAGCCGAGTTCCATGCCTTGGCAGGATGCTCATTTATTTAAGGGGAAGACAACCAAATGCTTATAGGAAACATTCCGAAGTCCCCAGTGTAATTTTGTCCTTGTACTTCCTTTGGGAAGACCTCATGGGGAAGACGGGTTGGCCGCCAGGAAGCCCCATTCATCATAGAGTTTCACCACTGGGAGAGAGCCTCCAGTCTGCTGTGGCTAGTTCCTACTTTACAGATGATGAAATCTGGGGATTAAGTGATTTCCCCAAGATTGTGCAGCTGGTTAATGGCAGACCGACATGCAACGAATAACACCCGAGGGCTTCAAGACTACCAACATGTGGGCTTTGCCCCAGAGGACTCCTGAGTAGGGGATAAAAGTCTAACTCTGAGCAAATCCGGCTCAAAGGCTGTCCTAGGACTGTCCCTTCTTAGGACAGGGAGAGATCATGAGATCATGAGCAACATTCTCTTGTTTACCTGCTGACAACACGAAATCAAGGAGCAGAGTGATTCACCCCCTCGGCTGGCCTCTCCAGTCAGAACCCCCACACAGTAAACCTGTGTCCCTTTCCGTACGCTAAGTTCACATCGCCATAAAACCAAAGCAGTATTTGATATTCCAGAACTCGTAGAGGCTTCTAGGTAATTGTCTCTTCGACACGAGGTAATTACCTCGTGGAGGCGGACACTTTAAGCCAGTTGGCCTTGGGGCTGAATGGACATACAAAAAGGAGAGGAGTCCGGGTAGGGATTTATTTGGCAAGCAGGGACTTCCTCACTTGGTTTCGCAGGGATAGAGCAGGGCACCGCGTGAGCAGTAGCGCAAGACTCATACGTTGTGTAAGGAGTTTTTATTGAGCACATACTAGGTGCCAGATGTGCTGCCGGGTACTGGGTCTGGAAGGAGCTGCTGACTGCCCTTAGAGGCGCCTGCCCTGTGATCCTATGCGCAGAGCACAGAGGTTCTCAGCCAGTATGTTTCAGAAATCACGTTATTCTAGGATTATTCTGTTTTGTGGTCTTCTCTCCAAAGCTAAATATATTAGGACGCAGGATGCTTTAGGAGGATAAAGGCATAAAGTTTGGAGGAAGTGGGTTTCGGGGTGTCATCTTTGCTTTTTGACATTCCCAGTAATAATACTAAGAAGGCTTCTGTCCTCCAAAACCCTGACAGTACAGGTGAAAGTTCTAGTTGGATCTAGCTTTAAGAGAGTAGCACAGATGTAAAGCAAAGTTTGAAAAAAACAAAGGGATTGAACATAGACACAGAGTCAAGTCGGCCATCTTCCAGCCGGCTGCCATAGATCAGATCTACTTTTCACCCACACTGACGAGAACCCTCTAACATTTGCTCCTTCCTCCTGGCTTTCCTTGGAGCACCAGGTTTGGCCAGGGGAATCCGGTGATTCACAGAACTCGGCACTGAGCACAAGAGTATGAACTGGTAAAGCTGAATGGAACCTTAACGATTCTCCAGTCCAGCCTCCTCATTTGACTAATGAGGAACTCGGGCCCAGAGAGCTGCACCTGACTTTCTCAAGGTCACACAGTAAAGTGGTGACACAGTTTATGGAACTTTACATGCAAAGATCAAGGGAGTTCTTATCATTGAAAGAACTTCTTCCCAGCCTCTGCCTAAAACAGCCCCTTCCAGGCCTTTAAAATGCTGCCCCTTAGGTCGATAGGGCAGGATGCTTCGAGGCAGGAGATTTGATTCTGGGCCATTTCAGTCAAGTGCCTTCTCTTAGGTTTAGATTCTGCCTTTTATTAAAAAAAAAAAAAAAAAAAAAGAAGTAAGATTTTACAATGAGATGGACAAATGTGCTCTAAATTCCCTTTCCACGTTAACTTTCTAGAATTCTAACACCATTCTGGGCTACCGGTTGGTGGAAATTCCACCCATTTTGCAACGTTCAAACCACAGACCATAACAGGCCAAGAAATAGTGAAACAGACCCCATCACCAATGGGTAGCTAAATACCAAAGATGCAATCTTGTCCTAAATGCAGTCTGACAAAAAGATTGTCTCTTGATCCCGTGGAGGCTTTAGGCTAGAAAGAAATTCAGTCTTTGAAGTCTTTATCCTTTTTTTTCTTTTTTTTTTTCCTGCCTTTATCAATTTTATCTCAATATGTGTTTATTCAGGTTGGTCCTGAGCCCTAAGATCTTAGGAGCACCCTTCTGGGTTAGAGCATCATGCCAAAGATCCTCGGACTTTGTTGCCACTTAACCTAACTGCTTGTCAGAAACGTGCTCAGTTCTGGAAGGACACGTAAAGTGGTTTTGCTGTGCATTTCAGTCTTAGGGCCCCTATCATCACCGTCAACAAGGACTTAAGTCCCTGGGGACAGAAACCATCCCTCTACCTCTCACCACAGTGTCTCTGCTGCCTAGCAGAGGATCGGCCCCTCCTAGATACTTTGCTGAAAAAATAAATACAAGCTGTGTGAAAGGTCTGGGGGCGAGAAGGTAGAAGGAGGTACAAAGAGAGTAAGGTCCAGAGTTCGTTTTCCATGAGCTTATTATTATTTCCATGAGCAAATAAGGTAAATGCATACAAGTAAACAGTACCCCATTACTAAGTGATACCTGTCATGAAAAGAGAAGCCAGCCCCTAGGTTGAGTCGCTCGGAGGAAGCATTATGGAAGAGAGAAGACTTGACGGAGCAGGGTCTGACAGGTCCCAGCTGTAGAAGTGGGGGGGCAACCAGTCCTGGGGGGCGGAGAAGGGGCCTGGCCATGGGCAAGGTGGTTAGAGAGAGACTAGCGGGCAGGGAGGAGTCCGTTTGGACCATGGCCTGAGTCAAGTCTTAGAACGGGACGCAAGAAGGCTACAAAGACAGGGTGAGGTCCAACGATGAAGGCATTGAAAGCCAGGCTAATCCATGGGTTTTATCCCTCAGAAAGAGGAAAGCCACTGAAAAAGGCTGAGCAGAAAAATGTCATGACAGTGCAGCATTTCAAAGAGATTAATCGTACCGGACACACAGAGCCAGTTAGCCTAGTAAAGGAGTCTTGGGTTCCACAAGGAAAAGTCCTAACAGCCTGCTGGGGAGATGAGACGGAAGGGCAGGGGTGAAGCTAAGGACCGAAGCTGTGAGCTCACACCACTTCCCCCTCCCACTCCCCCAGTACGTCTCTCTATGGATAAACACTAAATACTAGATGGGCCCTATCACTGGGAAGTACTTTTTGTGGGTTCTTTTCTTTTTGGGGGAGGGGTTTCTAGATCTTAAGCCTAGTACTGTTTTTACTCCCCTGCCCCAAGTGCCCCATCTTGGGAGTGAATTTTGAAAGTCTAATGAAGGAGGGGCGCTGTGAAAACCTCATTTGCGGGAGGGCTCCCTGCTTCTATCCTAAATCAGCTGCTTTCCTTGTTGGGGAAGACGAATGCCAGACTGTTCTGTCGCTGCTCAGCCTACATCTTGATCCATTTAACTAGCCTTCCCACCTCTGTGTGTGCTCTCAGAAAGGATGCACTGACACACGGCAAAATGCAGAGGCCTTTGCTGCAGAGAGCATAAGCTTTTTTAAGCATCTTATGCCCTATTTCATTTAATCAAATATTTAACAGTAGAGGACAAAGAGTGAGTCTACTGTCCTTTCAGACTCCCAGGCTACAGTGTGAGGGGCACCATGGATAAGATGAAGGGTACTAAGTTAGGTCAGATTTGCTGCTTTTTAAGATTTACAAGAGTAAACTCAGAATATTGTTATGTCCTAATACCAAAAATTGGCAAGTCTACCAGATAGGTGAGGTTGTGTCCTGTTATTTTTCAGCTGCCCTCCAATATCAATAAGACCTGCCTTAGAACCTGAACACGGCAACTTAACGGCCAGGAAAAGGTCACCCGCACGTCCTGAAATTTCAACTTGTATACAACTGTATGACTGTAGAGAATTCTTCAATTCAAGAGCTTGAAGACCATGGACTTATTTATTATTACAGATAGTAGTTTGGGGCTGGGCTAAAAACACATTACTGTTTCAAAGCACATGTAACTGCAGAGGCCTTGAATAGCACAGTGCTCAGTCCCCAGTGGGGAAGACTCAAGTTCAGCCACCCTCCCTTCAGTGGTTAACTGGCTGTCCGGGCCTTGCAGATTTTCACTGCTTTATTGGTCACTGTATTCTAGAGTCCGTGTCAGTTGCTAATCCATCAAGTCGTGGTTAACTTCGAGGAACTTACTCATTAGGGTTATAGTCTGTTCCTGTAGGTACATCCGCATGGAAAATGCCAGATCATAATCAGAATGTTGCTCGCGGAGCAGGAAATGCCATCAAGGAGAGGTAGCTGATGATCTGAATGGCTGGTAGCATCAAGTAGAGACCCATAGGATGTCACAAACACTTATCCCATGGAAGATGCTAGATGGACGGTTACTGTTTGCCTCTTAGCCTCCCTTTTTATGGGCTTTATTTCTGATCAACATTCCTTATGATCAATCTAAGCCTCCTTTACACCTAACTTGTCTTCAAGGTCAGGGTCAGCATCAATGCTTGGTCTGGTGGCCATTCTGTGTCCTTCAGGGTACCTCTAACTATGCTGTTCCGATTCCTTTTGTTTGTTTTTTCCCACTTACTTATCACAGCTGGGAAGTCGTACTTCCAAATTCTTCGGGGGCTCCATATACAAGTCTTTGGAGCCCCTGAAGAATTTGGAAGTGCGACTTCCCAGCTGTGACAATTAATGTGTCATTGTTCAAAGACTTTAGAGTAACTGCACATTATTTAAATATTCATCACCCTAAGAAGTGTGGTAAGTAGTTCTTATCTGTTCTGTTTGCAGAATCATCAACCCTTGTGCTATTGCTGGTCTGATTTTTTTTTTTCAGATTAAGAATGACCCAAAAGACATCACAGCTTTGCTCCAGAGCCAATGTTTATACTCAAGTGCCTGACGGAGGATGGGGCTGGGTGGTCGCCGTGTCTTTTTTCTTCGTTGAAGTCTTTACCTATGGTATCATCAAGTCATTTGGTGTCTTCTTCAATGACTTAATGGACAGTTTTAACGAATCCAATAGCAGGATTTCATGGGTCATATCCATATGTGTATTTGTCTTAACATTCACAGGTTGGTATCTCTTTCTGTTTGAACGATATGTAAGCATGTGCGGCTTTTCTTTGGCTTAACTATGTGATGGGCTCACCGTATTGGCAATGCATTTCCTCATATGACCCATGGGCCCTTTCCAGCCTGTTAAGTAATAGGGTTTTCAGGGGTTTGGGGATGGCAAGTAACAAGAGGCGCTGAAGGAAAAGGCCCTATTTGCCTGCCCTGATGGCCTTCAGTTTGTACACACGTGCATTGAACACCTACTGTATGCACACTCTTAGGATACGATAGATTACTTCGAGGCCAGCAGTAAGCTCCCGTCCTATATCGTCATTTTCTGAAGAAGAAACTGCAAAAGTATTTGCCATATTAGCTCTGGTCTCATAAACAGATTCTTAGGAAAGACGCTGGGACTTGTAAATGCGGATGCATGAAGAAAAACAAGGGGATGTCAAACAGGCTATAATGAAAAATTACAAATTTTATCCAGGAGGGACATTCTGAATTCAGACAGCCACTTCCCTGAAGGATATCACTGGCTGACTGGAGTGCAGGACCGCACCTCCAACAGCATCCGAGAAAATGGGGTTCAGTACCATTTTCAATGTGCTAATCGGCTCGGGGTCCCCTACGGGTCTGATTCTCTGGATGGTCCATCCATCTATCAGGGGCCACGCCAAGGGCTTCCAAGAAAACATGGCCATTGAACTCACCTCAGAAACTTAGCAGAGCTGACCTCACACTGCTCTAACCCTAGCATCCCACCAATGGAAACTATTCCCTCTGAAGTTTTCTGTCTTTAAATGTAGTTCGTTTTCAGCTGCATCGCGTCTTCGAGAGGAAGCTCCATGGTTCTTCCCTATCGAGTAAAGAATTTCTCACCGCTGCCCATACTGAGTCCTGGGAGCGTCACAGAAGCTCCCCCACCGACCCCCCACAGTTCCATGGAACTGAGTATTAAGACATTTACGTTTTTAATTGGGGAAAGTTTACTCTCTCGGCAGAAGAATTTAAGTGCATTCGAACTAAAGTTTTACCTCTGGCAGTCTAAATTAAAAGAAAATCCCAGAGCTTCACTCTGAGCTCTTTGATAACCGAAAACAACAATACGGTCAACAAGAAATTTCCCGTTAATGCTATTAAACTAGAAAATGATTCTTCTAAATGCTGTTATGATAGGAGTTAGCGCCTTGCGCTAAAGTACCACCTAAAGATGATGAGCATGGTTTCATTATGAGCTCCATTCAATATTGGTTTAAAGTGTACTAACAGAAGAGTTATATATGGACTGACCCCAATGAAAAAGATTTAGTCTTTTTTTTTTTTTTTCAGTTCCTCTATCTAGCATGTTCTGTATTGCTCTTTTACCTAGTTGTCAATGGTTTCCTTATCTTGGTGTATTCAAGTCAGTATCAGTGTCGGCCTAAGTTTGCCAGACTTCAATGTTCTGCAGGGTACGGAGTATAGACGTTAAGCGAATCAATGATCATAACCACTCTGAATTCTCTAGCCCCTAGCTAGCCTCCTTGCTGGGTGTTCACCTGTGCACTCACTGTGCTTTCGTATCATTTTCAGAAAAGTCAAATGAAACTGAGCTAGAAACTGACCATAAAGGGAGCTTTCTAAAAAAGAATCCAAAGCCATGACTATAGAAAAGGAAGCCGATTCGAACCATCGTAGGAAAACTCATTTCTGTCATGGAATAGCACACATTACGTGCATTATATCTAATGTTACAGGTGCTCATGGGGAGCCCGCATTGCTTTCCTCTAAAAACAGAGCCGTGTGTTTTATCCCGTTACTCTGGCTTTCTCCTTTAAGAAGCCCAAAGAACATACTGGCCAGTTCGAACAAATATAACCATCGTGTAAGATGTATTATATATCAAACATCATCTCTCCACGTTCAAGACGTAAGAGAAGGCATCTTGCAATAAGAAGGCTAATGGTCGTGCCTCTGGGAGTTGAAATGTCACAACTGTGATCTTTCACTGCAGCTCCCCTCTCCACCATCCTGAGCACTCGTTTTGGGCACCGTCTGGTGGTCGTGGCAGGGGGCCTGCTTGTCAGCACAGGAATGGTGACGGCCTCCTTTTCCGGGGAGCTGTACCACATGTACATTTCGATTGGCGTCATATCCGGTAAGTGCGGCTCCGGGGCTCCAAAGTGCTCCAGATACTCAGTTTGAAAAACAAGGAGGGGGAAGGAGGGGGTCCAACCCAATGGGTATCTTTTTTCTTTGTCTTTTTTTTTTCTTTTAAATTAATAGCGCCCCAGGGGCGCCTGGGTGGCTTAGTCGGTTAAGCGACTTTCGCTTGAGTCATGATCTCGCGGTCCGTGGGTTCGAGCCCCGCGTCGGGCTCTGTGCTGACTGCCAGCTCAGAGCCTGGAGCCTGTTTCAGTCTGTGACTCCCTCTCTCTCTGACCCTCCCCTGCTCGCGCTGTCTCTCTCTCTCTCTCCTAGAAATAAAGCATTAAAAAAAAATAATAAAAATAAATTAATTAATAGCGCCCCAAATCGGTGGTTTTGAACTGGGCTGGATGGGCTCCGGGGATATGAGGACCTCTCTCAGTGCCCAGGAGTTTTTGACTTTTTTTTTTTTAATATTTACCAATGAGAAAAATAACTTCTCTTTTGCATTAGTTTGCAGCCCAAAGACATCCCTTTCACAAAGATGGGAATTTCCTTAGTGGGTATTTCCTAAGTGGGAGTCTGAGACTTCTGGGCTGTAGGGGAGGGTGAAGGCATGCTAGGCTTTGTCTCCGGGGTCTGAGAAAATGTTTTTCCCTGTAAAAGGAGTCCCTACAGGGGCTCCTGGGTGGCTCAGTGGGTTAAGCATCCAACTTCAGCTCAGGTCACAATATCATGGTTTGTGGGTTCGAGCCCCTCGTCGGGCTCTTTGCTGACAGCTCGGAGCCTGGAGCTGCTTCTGATTCTGTGTCTCCTTCTCTCTCTGTGCCGCTCCACCGCTCATGCTTGTCTCTCTCTGTCTCTCAAAATTGAATAAACATTAAAAGGAGTCCCTACATTACTTAACAGATGATATATGTATATCGTTAAGATTTGTACAACTTTTCATATATTTCTGCACCTATCAAAACTCAATTATTTCTCCTAAATACAGGTCTTATATAAAAACTATATTCAGTAGTAGTCTGTGCATTGTGAATTCTATAAATTGTTCTAATGCAGAAAAATAGGGAGGGGGAAAACAGAGAAAACGGTTTTTATACTTCTGACATCCCCAAACAACTGTTACAGCTTTTCTAGACCTTCAATGAAATCTCTTTTTTTTTTTAAGTTTATTTATTTTGAGAGAAAGAGATTGGGGGAGGATCAAAGAGAGAGAGAGAGTCCTAAGCAGGCTCCACACTGTCTGCACAGAGCACGACTCAGGGCTCGATCTCATGAACTGCGAGGTCATGGCCTGAGCCAAATGCAAGAATCGGACGCCCTACTGACTGAGCCACTAAGGCGCCCCTGAAACCCTTTATTTTATCTTATTTTATTTTTTGCTACAGCACCTTTTTCCAGAGTGAAATTCTTGGCTCCCAGAACTTATGATTTATAAAATAAACACCACTCCCTCCCCAAATAGTTTATAATGGCAGCTTCTATTTCCTCTTTTACCCAGTAATCATTTAAGAAATGTATTGTTTGGATTTCCAAGAGGTTCGATTGTCCGGTGGTTAACTTTTTTGGTATTATTTTCAGATTGTCATGCATCGTGACCAAAGTATTTGCTGGCACAAAATCTTTGGGGAAACCAAAGATGTCTATTTGACATGGCACATAATATTAAAAAAACTAATCCCTAAAAATGCATACTTTCATGCATACATTAAATTAAATACTAAAACAAAAACAGGGGTGCCTGGGAGGCTTAGTCGGTTAAGCATCCGACTTTAGCTCAGGTCATGATCTCACAGCTCGTGGGTTTGAGCCCCGCGTCGGGCCCTGTGCTGACAGCTCAGAGCCTGGAGCCTGTTTCAGATTCTGTGTCTCCCCTTCGCTCTGCCCCTCCCCTGCTGATGCTCTCTCTGTCTCTCAATAATAAATAAACATTAAAAAAAAAATTTAATAAAACAATAAAAACAAAAATAAACATAACAGTCCCAGACCTCTGAATGCACCCTTCTGGAATCAATCCAAATGTGATGCTCACTGTTCTTTCTGTCTCTTCCAGGTTTGGGATTCTGCTTTAGCTTTCTACCAACTGTCACCATTTTATCCCAGTACTTTGATAAAAGGCGCTCCATGGTCACTGCAATTGCTTCCACGGGAGAATGTTTCGCCATGTTCGCCTTCGCCCCAGGTAGGCGGACCCCCATGGTCCATGTACGGACGCGGGTAGGGGAGGCCCCTCAGCTCTCCTTGCCAACAGCCGGCTGACTCTAACCGCATGCACCAGAAAGGTTATTATTTGCCTTCTTTCCTCCAGCACAGTTTAAATCTATCTTCCCTCAACCCATTTTAGGAATCCTGCCCCCCTAACACTGATAGGTCAGGAGGTGTAAGACGCCCATTCAGTGGGAAGGCTGGAAACATCCGTTCCAAAATAACTAATTTAATGATTTGAGATTGGTCACACTATCATCTCTCCTTTGTCAAAAGAGCCATATTCAGTGTGGATTTAAAATGTGCCGATACACTCAGCTTCATTATCTGTGTGTGGGTCATCTCACGGCACAATTTTCCTCCCTGGCCTACTTGCTACCTCAGTGTTAGCAGGTGAATTTCACTCTAACAAGCAATAGACGGTTAAGCTCGGAGATCCAGACTCACTTCCTACTCCGCTGTTTCCTGGAAGAATGTGTCTGTGAGTGTACTTTGTTCAAAGGAGTTAATGTAGAAATATTTAGGGGTGCCATTTCATAGGGTCTGAAGCTTTTCACATGGTTTAAAAAATGGACTAGATGTGTGCCTGCTGATATGTAGGAAGACAGAGAGACGGGGGACACGGTAATTGTTGAATTTCCGCGAAGGGAGTCAGGCCCACTGGGTCACTCTTTCTACTTTTCTGTCCGCTTCATGCGGGGGGAGAATCACGGGTCTGTGAGGGTGGAAACTGCATGCGGGCGGCCATGTTCCCTAGCACCTCCGTGGTACCTAGTAGGCACTCAAGAAATCCTAAATGGAAGGGTGCCCGGGTGGCTCAGTCGGCTAAGCATCCGACTTTAGCTCAGGTCAGGACCTCATAACTCCTGGGTTCGAGCCCCGCATCAAGCTCTGTGCTGTCAGCCCACTTCAGATTCTCTGTCTCCCTCTCTCTGCCCGTTCCCTGCTCACGGTCTACCTCTCTCTCTCTCTCTCTGTCTCGAAATAAATAAACATCTATTTTTTTAAAAAGTTAAATGGAGGAAGGAATACTGCACCCACTTTTGCCAGATGAGCGTAAAGCTTTTCAAAATCCCCAAGCCTAAAATATCTTGCTGGAAGTTTCCCACATTAATGGGAGGAATGAGAGATGTGAAACATGCTATAAAAGTAACTGGAGCCCTGCCCCCCCCCCGCCCCGAGGAATGTGGGGCTGCCTTGTTATGCCTGTCTTCTGGATAACTAGCTTCCCATGTCTTCATACCTGTCTGCTCTCAAAGAAGTAGAATTTCATAAAATTCTACTGCGTATCATGTAACCTTTCTAGGATGCTTACGAAGATGCTTTAAGGTCCTGAGGGGCCTGCGTTATACAGTTGTCGCTGTGGGGCTTTCCGCTCCCCTGTGGCCGTCTCCCCCAGCCTCCCGTTCCAGTGTCCAGCCTGTCCCTGGTCAGCAGCCCAGGACCATCGTTACTGGTGGGAAGGAGCAGACACAGTTAAGGGCTTTCCTGTCCCCGGTAAAGGACAGTCTGCAGAGTAGAAATTGTAGAATGGTGTCATCACTGAATTCTGCGATCACTGTGGGCTTTTAGGTTCTTCGCTTATCTTTCTAGTTGATCCATGACTACCGAGGGCTGCATGAGCGAATGCACAGTGACCTAGCTCAGAGGTAGGAAATTCTGTCCTGAAAGGGCCAGGCAGTAAACACTTTAGGCTTTCGCAGACTGTCCGTGTCTGTCAGAACCCCTCACGCTCCGTGTTTACAGCGCAAAGGCCACCATACACCACATCGGCGGCTGAGCGGGGCCGCGTTCCACTCAAGCGTTATTATCAAAGACACGCAGTGGGCTGGGTCTGGCCTGCTGTTCGCCAAAACCCGGACGTAGGTCACCGGCTTCCTTCATTTCTCGTGCCTCCGCCGGGCAACACGCACCCTCCAGAGCTCTTCTGGAGAGCTAGGCTGACAGACTTGGGTTTGTATCTGATACTCCCTGTGCACGTTTTCCCCTGATTGGTTCCGAACGGCATCAAAGCCTAGAATGAGGGATCCAGTCCGGGCGGACTGCATTCACCCTGCTGAGTCCATTTTTACCGAAGTTCAGTGCTAAACCGGAACCCTCGTTCCTGCTCCGTATTTTTTTCTCCTTTCTCGAGTCTGTTTCTGACCTTCGATTTTTATTTCTTCTTCGCCCCCGCCTCTCCAAGCCATCACAGCCCTGAAGGACAACATTGGCTGGCGATACAGCCTCCTCTTCGTGGGCCTGCTGCAGCTGAACATTGTCGTCTGCGGGGCGCTGCTGAGGCCGATTATCATCAAAGGACCGGGGTCCCCCAAAGCAACCGCACACGAACACCGGAAGGAAGTGCAATGTATGCTCGAAAACGAGAAAACACGCACCTCAATAGATTCCATTGACTCAGGAGTAGAACTACCTACCTCACCGAAAAATGTGCCTGGTCACACCAACACGGACCTGGGGCCGAAGGCCGACATGCAGCCGGCGAGGGCCGGCGCCAAGCAGAGCGACAAGAAAGCTCCTCTGTTGGACTTCTCCATCTTGAAAGACACGAGTTTCATTTGTTACGCGTTGTTCGGTCTTTTTGCAACCCTGGGGTTCTTCGCGCCTTCCCTGTACATCATTCCCTTGGCCATCAGTCTAGGCATCGAACAGGACCGCGCTGCCTTTTTACTGTCCACCATGGCGATCGCTGAGGTTTTTGGGAGGATCGGGGCTGGCTGCGTCTTCAACAGGGAGCCCATCCGCAAGATCTACATTGAGCTCATCTGCGTGATCTTACTGACTGTGTCTCTCTTTGCCTTTACTTTCGCTACCGAATTCTGGGGTCTCATGTCATGCAGCATATTTTTTGGGTTCATGGTTGGGACGGTAGGGGGTACCCACATTCCACTGCTTGCCGAAGACGATGTCGTGGGAATCGAGAAGATGTCGTCTGCCGCCGGAGTCTATGTCTTCATTCAGAGTATATCGGGACTGGCCGGGCCACCCCTTGCAGGTAATTTACATACACCAAACACGAACCCTCATCTACCGTCCCCGTATCAGGTGTGCTGACTTCTTGTGAGAGTCTTAAGGGGGGAAGAAAAACCTACTGGTTTTTATGGTCCATACAATTATCAGAGCCGGCAGGATTAGAAATTACCTGAGCCAGGTCTCTTGACTTACGTATGAGGAAATTGAAGGTCAAAGCATGTAAGCCAACAGTCGTATGGCAACTGAGTGACCGAGTCAGGATTAGAACCTATGTCTGCAGTCCAGGCTCCCCCAACCTTGGGCTACCATCTTGCCTTGTAAGCGCTAAAGCGGGACCCATCGGTGTATAACCTCACTCATTACCCTCTGACTTTTGGAACCGCAGCACGAAGGGAGTTCCGTAAGCCATCCGCCCTTCTTAGGAAGGGGGGGTGAGGAAACCGGGCACATGGCTCACTCTGCAGATACTTAATTGATTACTACTCAAGATTTCTTGTCAGAAGGACTTGGGGGTGTTTCCTACCTTAGCCCCGAAATGGGTCCTCAAAAGTTATCAGGACAGAAATCTTAACCTCCTCTTAAAAGATCCCCAAAGTGAACTCCAGTGAAAAGAATAGAGCTCTTTCTTCTCACTGTTTCCTTTTCCAAGAAGCAGGCATCTAACCGTCCGGCGTTTTATTCCCCAGAGGACAGACGAGCCCCGGCAGAACGTGCTAGCGCCCCAGTCGGGCGTCTCAGCTGTGCGTCTGCCTCGCTAACCCCTTCTCCCCAGTCTAGGAGAGACCCACACCTTCTGCTCCCTTTGTTCTTGCGAAAGCCCAGCTAGAACACGCAAGGCTAGGCCACTGAGAAGCTTCTGGGTGGGAGAGGGTTTGCGGCCGCGTTGCTAACAGATGCGAATGCTTTCTCCCAGGTCTGTTGGTGGACCAGAGTAAGATTTACAGTAGAGCCTTCTACTCCTGTGCCACGGGCACGTCGGTGGCCGCTGGGTGCCTGGCGCTGGTGAGGCCTTGTCGAAAGGGACTGTGCCAGCACCACCCCGTGGGTGGGGCCCAGGCCGAGAATCCTCGCGGGAAAGCTTTACAGGACATCCCCGAAGACTTCCTCGAAATGGACCTTGGCAGAAATGAGCATAAAGTTCACGTGAAAGTGGAGCCTGTGTGAGCTGCTTTCCCGTAACGCCCAGTCGGCCGGGAGGTGGGCAGACGCCGGTGGGGGGGGGGGGGGGGGGGCGGGACGCGGGGCAGTACGGGGGCCTGCCCGCTCGATGCGCTTTCCAAATGACACCTTAGAGGGAATGTGTGTGTGAACACGACCAGCATCCTTTTCGCTTGTTTCGTAAGCCAAAACGAAAACAGCCCCGCAGTTTCCACACGTGGATCTGGCTGTCTTTGGTAGCAAAACGGAGATAGGAAGAAGGACCCTGTGGCTCACATCCCCAATTCCGAACGGTGCCGTGGATGGCCAGAGGGGTTGGGAGAGCTCTCACGTGTGATGAACAGCAATCTTCTAAGATGACATGAGCCCAGATCGCTGAAATGAAATTGGCGGCTACCAAAAAAAAAAAAAATTTCTTTTTTTTTTTTTTAAATTTTTTTTAATGTTTTATTTATTTCTAGGAGAGAGAGAGAGAGAGACAGCACGAGCAGGGGAGGGTCAGAGAGAGAGGGATTCACAGACTGAAACAGGCTCCAGGCTCTGAGCTGGCAGTCAGCACAGAGCCCGACGCGGGGCTCGAACCCACGAACCGCGAGATCATGACCTAAGCGAAAGTCAGACGCTCAACCGACTAAGCCACCCAGGCGCCCCAAAAAAAAAAAAATTTCTTAAATCATGTTTTAAATTTCTCATTTTCAGAAATAGGAACGAATGGTTTAAAACCCTTTAAAAACACTGAGGTCTCCATCACCAGGTCATGGTGTCGCAGTTTTTCAACCATTCCATGGGAATGAAGTACAGGTCTAAGACCAAACATTTGGCTAACAAGTAGAAATTCTTAAAAAAAAAAAAAAAAAAAAAAGTATGTAACTTGAACTTCATAAATGTGAAGATTACCACTTCTTTTTATGGCCAGTCATTCACTACTAGAAGTATTTCAACACCGAATAGGCAGAATGGCATTCGAAAACATGTTTCCTGTTGCTTTGAGTTATTCCGAAATATGTGACTGTAGTGTCTTTAATTTAATCCACTATTTATTATTAAGTTATTCTAGGATGATTAAAATAATCAAAAGAAACAAAATCTGAGGCCGAAGCATCACTTTTACCTCCTTCTTGCAATCCTTGAAATGCCTCAAAGAAAACTTACCTTGTAAAGTTACTCTCCTGAAAGGGCCGGGTTGTAATGAGTCTTCAATTTAATTTAATGGCCACATGTGCTAGTTAAAGGGGAAAACAAAGATAACGAATAGCAAGTCGCCTTAGCTTCTTAAACGGATTTGTTTTATCACCTAAGAATACTTGAGGATCTCTTTTGATTGGAATTCCATTTCATTGAATTGTTGAAGCGTTTCCAATTTTTTTTTCCTTTAAGCAGCTAACTGTTGAAGCATTTCTGTATATCACATGGAGTAGCAGAGACATGGCATTTTACCATCATAAGTTACACGTTGCAATTTACATCTTGTATAAGCCTTGATTGCTCTAAGTTGCCAGAGTTATCGGGTAAACTGGTCATTGTTGGTTTGGTTATTTGTTTGTTTGTTTTTGGAATTACACTACATGTATAGAATTTCTCGTGTTACTGTTTTTTCCGTAAAGAGGGCAGGTGTAAGGATCACAGGTGGGCTACTTACTTATATGTAATGAATCTCACTCTGCAGGGGATGGTCACTCGCTGCTCTGTCTTTTATTCATCTTTGCTGTTAATTTATGACAACTCAGGGGGAAAAAAATATAACAAGCCTAGTTTGGTTACAGGTACACACAAGCTTGAATATTTCTCTGCACTGAAATGAAAGTGGCATAGTTCATCACCACCTGCTACATTTTGTATAGCATTTTTCAGCCATAGAAATAGGACAATCTGTAAAACTTTGGGGGGTTGGGGGGGAAATGACAAAGTGTCCGTCGAAAACAGACACACCTGGAACGGTGGATGTAGCAAATCTCTGTCACTGCTTGAGAAGGACTTTGAGCTTTGTGGCAGTTTTGCAGACTTACACGACTTCAGCACTTTACAACATTTTTTACTATGAATGTTCAATACAATTTAATATTTATAACCGATTTCTGAGCAATCTGCTCTAAGTCCTTTCTGTTAACTGCATGAAAAAAATGTATGCCAATTTCAGTATGTCAATAATCAAGGTTCTAAATGTTTCGGAGAAAATGAAAGCAGGATCGCCAATCTGTTCTGTATTTGTGACATTCTGGTACTTCTAGATATGCAATAAATGTATGGCTTTTTTTTTTTTAATTTCACGAGACTGATTCCTTTTTTTAATGGACTCATCAGCATTCAATGAGTGATCCAATTAAAGTTATACAGGGGCGCCTGGGTGGCTCAGTCGGTTAAGCGTCCAACTTCGGCTCAGGTCATGATCTCACAGTTTGTGGGTTCAAGCCCCTGTGCTGACAGCTAGCTCAGAGCCTGGAGCCTGTCTTCGGATTCTGTGTCTCCCTCTCTCTCTGACCCTCCCCCGCTCAGGCTGTCTCTCTCTCTCTCTCTCTCAAAAATAAATAAATAAAAATAAAATAAAATAAGCATTCATGATTATTTCTGATGTAGAATATTTGAGAAAGAGTACAAAAATCTAAATGTAATAAATACCTCTGGGTGATCTAAGTGGGTAACTGGGCCATGGAGCCCTGACCTAGGATCTATTTTCTATTCCGTTTCTGTATCACTAAGTATTAAGCCACAGGAAAGGCAGATAAAGGCTACATTACACATTACGGAAGTACAAAACCGATAACTTTGTTTAAAGGTTTGGAGCCACCGTATTCATTACAGATACATTTGTAAGGCTACATTAAGGATGCATTTGTCTGAAAAGAGTACATGATCATTTTTACCTCTGAAATACTTTTACTTTTGGGGAGGAAAGTAGTCTTCATTTATACTGGAACATTATTAAGTCAGCAAGGTTAAAGCAGAATCTCTTTAATCCCAGGAAATGAAAACCTGTAATTAACACACTATCAGCCGTTTGCTCTTTCCTGTCTTCGGCACCTATGATCTAAAAGCCACTTTGACCACAGCCATCCTCTCTGTCAGTCCCCACGGTTCCTTTCCAGAGTGGAGCCGACCATTCCAGTGTTGCGGGTGCAAGGGGCAGAGCTCAGAAACCACAGTCCATGGGCCAAATCCAGTCCACTGCCTGTTTTCCTTTCCAGACCACAGGCGAATAGGGTTGGTTTTCATTTTTTACACTTTTATGTGGTTGAGGAAAAAAATCAAAACGCGACTTCATGACGTGTGAAAGTTTTATGAAATTCACATTTCAGTATGCATGCGTAAATTTTTATTGAAGTAGCCTTGCTCATTCATGTGCATCTTGTCTGTGGCTGCTTTCACAGTACAAGCGTGGGGCTAAGTAGTTGGGACAGAGCCCACATGGCCCGCCAGGCCTTAAATATTTACTATCCAGACCTTTACAGAAAACGTTTGCAGATCCCTGGCCCAGAGAATGTTTACTTAGCAGAGCTCTTACGACTGTTCTGTAACTGGGTGTAGATGGTCTCAACCACTTACTACATTTAATAAGCTTTGCTCCTAGATATCATTTCATGTCTATACTTTTCATGAAGAAATAATCAAGTCTCACAAACACTTCTTGAAAATGTTTAAGTGTCTCTAGCAGGGTTAAAAAGATTTTGCAGCAAAGAAGAGTGACAAAAATTATTTATTTATTTTTAAAATGTTTTTATTTATTTCTGAGAGAGAGAGAGCGAGCATGAACAGGGGAGGGTCAGAGAGAGAGTGAGATACAGAATCTGAAGCAGGCTCCAGGCTCTGAGCTAGATGTCAGCACAGAGCCCAACACGGGGCTCGAACCCACGAACCGTGAGATCATGACCTGAGCCGAAGTCAGACGCTTAACCGACTGAGCCACCCAGGTGCCCCATAAATGCTTATTTTAAAAAGATCCCAGGTATCGGGCTCACTAATAGGGATTTAAAGTTCAGATACCATTGCCGTTGGTTCTGGTTATGAGCATTGCATGAAACGACCGATTTAAAGGCATTTCAGACATGTTCTGTGCTAACCGGTCAATCCTATAAGCAGCAGGATTGCATTGAGAAATGAGATTTGTCTTTGATGCAGATGTTAATCAAATAAACGAAGGCCCCAGTCTCCCAACAGGTGGGCCAGCCCTTGTATAAGTAAGGACACTAGCTCCCCCTGGTGTTCGGCTTTTGTAAGGACTCCTTGAGGGTGCAACACCAGAAAAGTGAGGAGTTCAAGAAAGGGCAACTTCGCTTTTCATAGAAGAGAAACTCTCACATCCAAATCAAAATTACTTCAGTGACTACAGATTTCCTAGAGGGAAAACTGGACAGCGAAAGTGCTATTCCAGAACACTTTATCTGTAAAGGCTCTTTAAACAGAGCTCAGCAAATATTATGCAGAGAAAATACACATTGGGGCCACGTACTGATATTATTCAGAGACCTTTCCAGCAACTCAAGAAAAGAAAAGCCCGCCAACTACCCTAGCAACCTACTCACCCAGAATTCAGCCAAAACTGTTAAGTTCCTTCCCTACACCGACAACTCGTGTTTAAGATCTGCCTTTGCAGCTGAGTTCCAGACTCACACCCGTGGAACAGCACCTGATGCCGACTGGGCATTTCCACCTCCACGTGACCTCAGTGGAACCCTTGACCCTCCTCCCCAAACCTGCTCCTCCACAAATCCTATTGGCTTTGCTTTCTAAGTATATCCAGAACGTGCTTTTGCCGACGCGATCAGTACCCCTGATCCCAGCCAACAGCATCTTAGCTGGATTATTGCAACAATCTACTGGTATTGCCCAGTATCACTCTTGCTTTAGTTTTCCTGCTTTAAATTTCCATGCAGAAGCCTTAGAATAATCTCTTTTTTTTAAGAGAATGAGAGAGAGCACGAGGGAGTTGGGGTGGGGCAGAGGAAGGGGGGAGGGAGAGAGAGAGTGAGGGAGAGACAGAGAGAGAGAGAGAGAGAGAGAGAGAGAGAATCCCAACTAGGCGCCACACTCAGTGCGGAACTCAATGTGGGGCTGGATCCCACAACCCTGGGATCATGACCTGAGCCGAAACTAAGAGTCTGATGCTCAAGGGCTGAGTCGCCCGGGCGCCCCACAATAATCCTTTCAAGGCACAAATCAGACCCGATCGTATTTAAAACCCAAAATCTTCAACAATGGGTTCTCACACACTGCCTGCTACTGTTATTTCCTCCCTGCTCCTGTTCCGCTAGCTGCACTGGTCTTCCTAGGGTTCCTTGAAAACACAAGCCTCTTAGCATCTATTCTTCCCTTTCTCCGGCTCGCCCTTCCCTTTGATGTGGACGAGATGTGACCCTTTCATTCAGTCTTTTCCAAATGTTCTTGCAGAGGCGGTCCTGACCATCCTATCCAAAACAGTCCTTGTTTCTCCTCTTTACTCAGAAAAAAAAGTTACAAAAATATTTTTGTCCCCCACCCCCACCCCCGGTCAAAATGCTAGCAGGCTTCCTGTGCACTGCTCCACTCCCAGGGCTTTGAGCAGGGCTGCCAGGTGGTAGGCGGTGCTCCAAAAATACTGTTGAATGAATGAATGAATGAGTTCTTCCTTTTGCACTGCCTTTTTTCTCCCCTCCCCCCGCCCCCGCCATTGGCTTTTTCAAGAGAGAAAAAAAAAAATGACACCTATTTACAACTATAGCTCAAGGCAGTCCGGTGTCGCTGCAAAGAAGCTCGGTGGCCCTAGGACACTGGCGAAGCACTGGGATCCAAACCTACGGGCCCCAGAGCGGAAGCTGGGTCCCCAATTGCCCAGCAGGGGGAGCTCTGCATGGGTGAATCAGCCGTAAGGGGAAAACGTAGATCCATTTGAAACTGGACAAAACGGGGAAGAAATGACCACCAGGGCAGGGATGCAGATGGAGGGCTCAGTTTTCACATGCTGCTGGAGAAGACTTTGTTTTAAGTTAACCTATTTTCCAGCAGACTTCTTTTTTTCGTGGGGTGTTTTTTTTTTTTTTCTTTCTTTTTTTTTTTTTTTAATGCCTCCACGGTAGCAAGGGCTTTTCTGGACACTGAATCTCTTTTTTGGTGAGAAAGTACACGGACTGATTTCTCTGACTTTGAGCAACCCCAGATGGCCCCACTCGAACAGAAAAGGGGTTGAAAGAAAGTTTAATCTTTTATAACCCCTTCTATAAACAATGGGGGGGTGTGGAATCAGTTAGGTTTCTGGCTTGTGGTAGTTTACTTCTTATGAGGTCATGCAGCAGAGTTTCCGGAAAACAAAGCAGAATTCGGGATTAGGGAGATCCGACCTGTTCTACCTGCCACTGGCGCTACTGTGCACGAGTTCACTTAGCTACTGCGACTTGTTTCTTCACGTGTGAACGGAGCAATATGCACGTTATTAACAGTTGACGATTCTGCATTCCAAACATGAAAGCACATTTTAAAGGGCATCCCAGGCCGCGGGTAATGGGAGAGGGTAGTGTAAAAAAAAAAAAAAAAAGCAATGCGACGGAAGGCAACAGCCAGATCTGAAAGCCAAGGCCGAATCCGAAGGCGCTTACAGTGTGCACACCCCTGCAGCTTGATGCCTAGACGCCCAGGGCTGCCGGGAGACCGCAAAACCCTTCCCTTGAAACGGCCTTTTTCTTCCCGATTGACTCCGTCGGCTCCCTTTCGCAGGTGCGTCCTCCCGCGCGGATCGGGAACCGGCCGCGGCCCGGAGCTGCGCCCCGCGGGGCCGGGAGCACGTGCAGCGTGGCGTCCGGGGCGGGGACTTGCACACTCCCGCCGGAGCGTGGACACGCGGCACTCGCGAGTGTCTCCGCCTTCACACTGACTACGGGTTCAAACGGCACTGTTCGGGGCGCCCTGGACGAACTACACCGCGCGAGTAACCCTAACTCCACGCGCCCTTGCGGCCGGCGCCCACGTGCCGACCCGAAGCGGGAAGGCGACGCCCGGGCCCGCGCCGCGCTCGCACTGGACGGGCCGCGCCGGCGGCTCCGCGGAACCGCGCACACGCGCCCCCGCCCCGCCCGCACTCACGGCTCCGCCGCCCGCCGCGCCGCGCCGATCCGCCGGCCTCCCGCGGCCGCCGCGCCCCCACTCCCGGGAGGCCTCGCGGCGGGCCGGGGGCGCGCGGGCGCGGCCGGGGGCGCGGGCGGGGGACGCGCCGCGCGAGCTCGCGGCGACCCGGCGGGGCGGGGCGGGACGGGGCGGGGCCGGGCGCCGCGCGGGCGGGGGAGCCGGACAGCGCCGCCTGGGGTCGGGGGGCGGAACAGCGCCGCTGCGGGGGTGGTGGGGAGGGACGGCGCTGCCTCTCCGGGGGCGGGCCGCACAGTGCCGCCGCGGGGGGGGGGGGGGAACAGCGCTGTCACTCGGGTGGGGGGGGCAGCGCCGCCGCAGGGTGGCGAGGGGGGTGGGGGAGGGCGGGGCGAGCAGCACTGCCACTGGGAGGGGTGCCCAGCGCCACCGCGGCCCGCACCCCCCCCACCAGCGCCCCAGCGCCCCAGCGCCGCCCCCAGGCCTGCGGGCTCCCGACGGACAAGGCCAAGTTCTGTCCGGCCGTCGCCGTCGGACTAAAATGTTGACAATCTTTCTCCTGATCAGAGGGAGATTGCTAATTCCTCAGGCGACAACGCGAACAGCATTTGCGATTCGCTTCTTTCTAGAACAGTGTTTAGACGGAACAATCCATGCTCTTTACTCTCAAGTGCCTTGTGCGCTCGGCGTCGGCAAAGCACACCGCGTGGATCTGCGTGTGTCACTGCGGGAAGATCATTTCGCAAAACAAGGTTTAGCCATAGTACGTAAAATTTCGCTGTAGTCGACAAATTATATCTTCAAATTTAACGCGAAGAAACTGTCCAAAGGTAAGTACGATGCAATCTTATGCACTTAATTGATGATCGCTGAATAAATCCGTCAGTAACACTTGCTTGTCCAACTTTTAAAGGACCGAATGATTGGATTCTTTACTAGAAGACTTTTTTTTCCGGTCAGTGAAGGGTAGGTACAAATGCATTTTAGATCTTTTCCAAATAACTGCAACCCCTCATTTACACACCTAGCCAAATCTGAATCTGTAGGTTTGTAAGGCTTGCTGACCTACAGCACTAAGCCTGTCCTTACCTTGTAGGTAAACAGAAGGAAACTGAAGAGAACGGACAATAATAGTATATATTTCAATGAGGAAATAAACCTGTAACATGCCATAGAAGTCCACACACTCCCTTTCTCTTTTCATATTAGAATGACCAAGTGTTCTCTCACCAATTAGTTTAAATTTGTTTTAATGTTTTATTCTTGAGAGAGAGAGTAAGCAAGAGATAGAGCATGCGCAGGGGAGGGGCAGAGAGAGAGAGACAGTTTCCAAAGCAGGCTCCACGCTCCAGGCTGTCAACACAGAGCCCGACTCAGGGCTGGAACCCCCACACCATAAGATCATGACCTGAGCCAAAGTCCAGTGCTTAATCAACCGAGTCACCCAGGCGCCCCGCTCTCCAATTAGTTTAAACACAAATCACCATTTTCTCAATGACCTTAAGAGCCTTAATCAAGTAAGAAAGTGAATCACGGGGAAACCATTGATGCAGTTATAAAATGTGCTTTAAGTCACACTATGTAAATAACGGCGAGAGAATTTAGGTTCTGAAGATCAAAATGTTTAATTACCCAGAGGTTTTACCCTCAAGGTTAAGATGGGAACGTGAGAAACGCAATCTGCTCACCAACATTCAGCCAAATGATCTGATCTAATTTCTAGATTTCTGGGATACATGGATCTCACAGAGGAGATGTGTCAAGTCTGTGGTTGTCAACCTGTCCCCCACTGAGGCAATCCCGCTGATGTCCCCAACCCCACAGGCCATCAGGGGCATTCTTGACACACCAGCGGGTAACCCCATCATGCCCTCCCCCTAATCAAGCACACACTTCCCAGTGCAAAGAAGTGAGAGAGATACTATTGTAGGAATAAACCCCACACCTGCTCTGAGCCTACAGCAAAAGTGCAACACTCACAAACCTAAGGGCCGTCGTAGCAAATGACGTGCAAGACCCTTCACAAGCTATAGTACAAGTTCCACTGTTATCTTCCCTTGTAACTACTCAGAGGTCACATTTTTTTTTAAGTTTATTTATCCGGAGAGAGAGAGAATGCGAGCAGAGGAGGGTCAGAGAGAGGCGGGGGGAGAGAGAGAATCCCAAGCAGGCTCTGCACTGTCAGCGAGAAGCCTGACTCAGGGCTGGAGCCCACAAACCGTGAGATCATGCCCCGAGCAGAAACCAAGATGCTCAGCGGACGGCGCCACCCAGGCGCCCCAGGAGGTCACATCTGATGAGCTGCTGAAAGCCTGACAAGCCGCCAGGCCACAGAGAAGGAACCCCGCAGAGCAGCTGAGTCACCTGGGTACCAAGGAGGGAGCCCCTCTTCCAGAAAATGAACCAAGTTCAGTCCCTGGGAATGACGTGCCTTGGAAATCCGTTCTTGGAACATAGCGGTTTCTAGAATATTCACTTCGTCATCTGCTAGTCCCAGCTCTCTCCAGAAATCAGCATGTTTGAAGAATGGAAACGATGTGCTCCCTACGGATGTGCTCGCTACCACAGGCCAGGCGATTAAGACAGAAAAGGAAGAGTTTATAGTTTTTGTCATTCACAACAAGCCTTGGGGCGCCTGGGTGGCTCTGTCAGTTAAGCCTCCGGCTCTTGGCCTCACAGTTTGTGAGTTCGAGCCCCACGTCCGACTCTTTGCTGACAGCAGTCAGCACAGAGCCTGCTTGGGATTCTCTTTCTCCCTCTCCCTCTCTCTCTGCCCTTCCCCCACCCACACACACACTCTCTCTCTCTCTCTCTCAAAACAAATCAGCATTTAAAAAAAAATTAGCCTCATTTGCAAGTTCAAGTGCTTTCAAGAAGGTTCCGTTCTGTTACTGGACACCGGGCAGAATCGGCAGCGTACTCGAGTGAAGTACTCCATCCAGACGAAAGCAAAATCTGCAAATGTTTATTCCAATTACTCTTTTGTGAGGGTCCTTATTTTTGGACAACAGCAAGGCATTTTAGTATCCACGCTTTCCATTCCTTAAAGGCTTCCGCGGGTTTGGGGAGGTCCCCGTTGTCCTCACGACCGCGCGTCGTACTGACCCCGGGGCTGTCCGAGTCGCCATCAATCCACCTGACCAGCGCCTTGAGAAACAGACACCAGAGGCACATTTTGACAAATCGGAGCCAGACAGTTGTAGGCACGCGAAAAACACGGGCTTCTAAATCACATTATCGCAATCAGTGACTTCAATTACCCCTGGGAGATGTTCCGTTCGATAGAGATGTTTGTGCACATAAAGGACACTGGCTGGAAGAGCCGTCACCACAAATGCACAAGCCGGGATGACGGGGGACGGTCTGAAGTGTGCAGACAGAAACGCCCGAACCCGCACGGGGATTTTTCCCTGGGCGGGAGGAGTAGGCTTTTCTCAACTTGCCACATGTCCCCCCACCCCCACTCCCATCCCAGGGCACCGGGCAAGCGCTTGTCATCTGGCGCAGAAAGGGCACCTCTGGAAGTGTGCACAGAGGCACAGGCGGTCACGTGTATGTAAGGCCACTTTGCATGCGTCATCACACCCACCAGGAGTCATGTGACGGCCACGGCCACGTCCGTGGACCCGTGTGCGCACGCATCCTGAGATGGGTACTTTCCCTCCTCCTTCTTAAGGAAACCCACCCTTTCCTCCGAGCGAACCACATACCCCTGTCCCACATCTGGAAAGAGAAGCCATCTCTCCACACTCCATAGAATCCTCAGAAACGGGCTCTGCCGCGCGTCACAGCATTTACTGTTCTGCGCAGGTCAAGCTCCCTTGACCTAAGTGAACGGGAAGTCAGATGCCTCCTTCACCGTTTCTGCCTGGATGACAAGTGTCAGGCACTCGGAGGCAGGGCAGTTTTTAAGGAGATTTCTTTGAGTGTTTTTCTTTTCTTTCTTTTTTTTTTTAAACCACAGCTTCCTGCTTATCTTTGAGCTAATTTCCTCTGATAAATTATAGTTCCAGAGAAGGGCCTAATAGAAAATGGTCGTTTGCTACTTATATAACCACTTCCCCCTTTTTTTCTTCCCCTCATTTACTTTGTATCTTTCGATTATGCTGAAGCCCACGGCGCACTGCAGCTTGCGGAGGCAGATCGGGCAGAGGTGGAGGGGGCGCCGGTCGGCTTCCTCCAAGTGGTTGGAGCCCTGCATGAGGCACGCGAGCCACTGGCAATGTCGAAGTCCAAATATGTGGCCAATCTCATGGGTTAAAGTCTGCAAGACATTCACAGCAGAGCTTTGTGGTGCCACCGTCATCAGCGGGTTGGACCTTCCTTCTCGTTCTTGCTTTTCCAAGAAACAAATTTCGGGGGAATCAACTCCCTTACCCAAAACTTCAGTCTGCCCCAAAACTTAATCGTTCATGTCCCTAACTGTCTTCCACTGCCTTCCTTCCAATACTTAATTCTTTCCCCTGGGGCGGGGCTGCTCAGCCCTGAGACCCCGGTTATATTGGGTAGGATCGTTCTTTGGGGAGGGGGGTGGGGGGGGTGAACAGCAGTCTGGTGCCCTGTAGGATACTTAGCACCATCCCCAGCCTCTACCCAACTGCACCCGCCAGAAGTGTCTCTAAACATTGCCACAAAGTCCCCGGGTGGCATGATCACCCCCAGCTTGAGAGCCAGGCTCCGGACCAGTGGGACATTTGTCACAGTTCAGATGCTGGGTCCTTACCTCCCCCGGCCCCCCACCCTGACATGCTGAGTCAGTAGGTTTGGCGGGAAGGGGGCTCCGCCTGCATGTTAGCGAGCACCCTGGCTGACGCTGTGCAGGGCACACTTTGAAAACACTGCTCCGCGCAGTGCGGCTCTCAAACCTGAATATGTAGCTACTAATGAAAGCAGAACTTCTGGCTGTAGGAAGAGCCATGTCTCCAGCTAAGGAAAAAGGGAAAACCCAGGAGGCGGGCTCTCCAAAGAGCAGGGGTTGGGGAGGGTATCAGGTGTTATGAGGAGGATGGACCTCCGTGGAAGGCAGCCTGGGGCCCAGGAAGCCGTCCTCGGGACACCGGACAGCAGAGGCCCTCCAAGAGCGGCTTTACTTGATGACTGCAACCTCTAAGAGTCCGTGACCACCCTCAAAACAGACTTCTGGAATTGAACTAGTGGTGAGGATGTGGGCACAGTGCAGGCTGCACGTAACGGGGCATAATTCCAACATGGGTACTACTGTAACTTTCACCATCAAGGTATCCATTTAAATCCTGTGTTTGTTGACAATTTCAGGCATACACAGTGTCCACTGAAAGTATACAAATGACACAAATTCATTTATCAGGAGGGAATTCGGGGCTCTTTGGGGCGCCTGGGGGGCTTAGCTGGTTAAGCGTCCGACCTGATTTTGGCTCAAGTCATCATCTCACAGTGTCGTTGAGTTCGAGCCCCTTATCAGGCTCTGTGCTGGCAGCGCGGAGCCTGGTTAGGATTCTGTGTCTCTCTGCCCCCTGCCCCATCTCTCTCAAAAATAAATAAATAAATATTTTTTTAAAAATCCAACAGGATTTTTTAAAAAACCACTCACCTTACAGGAACGAAGCAGGAGAACGCTGGTCACTGGAGGAATATAATAGTTATCAAAAACTGTATAGTCACTGGAGGATACTTTCCGCAGCTTGTTCACTTTGCCTTCATAGCGTGAGCTATAAAAATCACTGTCATACCTGGCGAAGCTGAATATCCCCACACCTATAAAAGGAGGACAAGCAACAACAGAATGGGTGCAAGGTTCTCGAACAAGAAACCGAAAAGGAGAGCCTGCCTGGGCATCTAATCTGAGCCGCCGGGCTCGGGGTGCTTACAGTTTGCCAAGACAGAGGTGGACGCCAGGCCCAGGCTCCCCTATCAAACTCTGCAGCTGCTAAGCCAGTTTGCCCTGCTCTGGAAAACACGGTGGGCTTGAGGTTCAAATTCTTGAGAAATTGGGAGTTCCAGAGGTTTTGCTTCCCCACAAAAGAAGTCTTTTTTTTTTTTCCAGAATAGTCCCAAACAGGTAGTCCAAGAGGAACTTGGAAAAATGAAGACGTGCACAACACACACCCATGAACTCACTCATTATTTATTTATTTTGAGAGCGACAGAGACAGAGCAAGTCGGGGAGGGGCAGAGAGACAAGAAGAGAGAGAATCCCAAGCAGGCTCCAGGCGGCCAGCACAGAGCCCGATGTGGGCTTGAACTCACAAACTGTGAGATCAGGACCTGAGCTGAAACCAAGAGTCTGGCACTTAACTGACTGAGTCGCCCGGGCACCCCAACTTTACTCTTTAAGAACACAATTGGGGCGCCTGGGTGACTCAGTCGGTTGAGGTCGGCTCAGGTCATGATCTCACCATTCGTGGGTTCGAGCCCCGTGTCGGGCTCTGTGCTGACAGCTCGGAGCCTGGAGCCTGCTCTGGATTCTGTGTCTCCCTGTCTCTCTGCCCCTCCCTGCTAATGCTCTGTCTCTCTCTGGCTCTCTCTCTGTCTCTCTCAAATATAAACATTAAAAAACTGAAAAAAAAAAAAAAAAGAACACAATAAGCATGGGCACTTGGCTGGCTCAGCAGGTTCAAACGTGTGACTCTTGGTTTCAGCTCAGGGCATGATATCACAGGCTGTGCGATCGCGCCCTCCGCTGGCCTCTGTGCTGACAGTGTTGGAATTCTCTCTCCTTCTCACTCTGCCCCTTCCCAGATGGTGCTCTCTCTCTCTGTCTCTCAAAATCAATACATAAATTTTTAAAAATCAGAACACAATAAACACATCTCTAGGCCCTGTGTGGGAGGGAGGCCTCCTGGACCCCTCTGGCACCAGGCTGAGGAAATCCGCCGTTCCCCCCGCCACGCCCCCGCCACCTGAGGCTTGGGGACCACGCTCGGGGCAGGGCCTTTGCACACGCCCTCTGCCCTCCCGTCCCATCTTGCTCACAACACAACTGTACTATGTGGCTGCCGCCAAGGGACCAGAATAAACACCCTTGTAACGGACTTCCTGTCACCCGGAGGCTCGTATCAACCATCTCTGCACACGTGGAGAACAGGCTTTCCTGTGCAGCTCGTTCTAAAGTGCTCCTCACTCCACCCTTAGAAAGCCTCATATTTGGTATTTAGAGAGGGGGAGAGAGTGCACGCTCTTTCTGAAAGTTAAGAAAACACTAAAGCTATTCATGTCACAGCTGACCTCCTCTGTCCTCTGGCCAAGGAAGTGTGAGCGTATTTCATTACAATACCTCCAGCGAGAACCTCGTTTCCTTCTAATAATCCTACAAATGGAAGGTTATTTTCTTTAGTCATTAAACATCTCTCCATTTTAAAATCCCCGTCTTTGTAATCCTGGAGAGAAGAGTCACTTGTAGTAAGATACTGGCTCATTGTCTGGCCGGTCAGCCCTGTCACCTTACATCTTCTCTTGGGCCACAGGCAGAAGCAAAGAAACTTACTTAAAAAGGGGACGGGGTTGGGGCACCTGGGTGGCTCAGCCCCGCATCGGGCTCTGTGCTGACAGCTGGGAGCCTGGAGCCTGCTTCCAATTCTGTGTCTCCCTTGCTCTCTGCCCCTCCCCGACTAGTGCTCTGTCTCTCTCTCTCTCAATAAATAAATATTTTTTTAAAAAATTACTTTTAAATTCTTTTTAATGTTTTTTTTTAATTTATTTTTAGGAGAGAGAGAGAGAGAGAGACAGCATGAGCAGGGGAGGGTCAAAGAGGGAGGGAGTCACAGACTGAAACAGGCTCCAGGCTCTGAGCTGGCAGTCAGCACAGAGCCCGATGCGGGGCTCGAACCCACAAACCGCGAGATCATGACCTAAGCGAGAGTCGGACGCTTAACCAACTAAGCCACCCAGGCGCCCCAAAAAATTATTTTTAAAGAGGGGATGAGGGGGTGGTGAAAGTAGAAACATTTTGGGAAAATGTCTCCTGCTCTTGAAACATGTAAGATAAATGAGCTGAAGATGTCCGGATACATTGTTTTAAATTTTTAAGTCTCTGTCTCTGCCAGGTAAATAATAAAAGGGAGATAAAAATTTTGCTGGGAAAAGTTTTTTTCTGATAGAAAGTCGGCTCATACAAAAATGAGAACCGACAGCAGTGCTGAGTCCCCGGGAAAATATGTTGACTGGGGAGGGGGGGGTGGGGGGGCGCTATAGGAATGGAAATGAAGAAGCCACCGGGAAGGAGAAAGGGGAAGATCACGGTCTGTGGCACCGGGGCCCCGCCTCTAGTGAATGTGTCAGAGACGGAGATGTCTAACACAGAAACCTTTGTTAAAGAAATCATTAACAATAGGACTCTCCTATGACCCAGCAATAGCACTGCTAGGAATTTACCCAAGGGATACAGGAGTGCTGAAGCATAGGGGCACATGTACCCCAATGTTCATAGCAGCACTCTCAACAATAGCCAAACCATGGAAAGAGCCTAAGTGTCCATCAACTGACGAACTGACGAATGGATCAAGAAGATGTGGTTTATCTATAATGGAATACTACATGGCAATGAGAAAGAATGAAATCTGGCCATGTGTAGCCTCATGGATGGAACTCTAGGGTGCTATGCTGAGTGAAATAAGTCAGGCAGAGAAGGACAGATACCATATGTTTGCACGTCTAGGAGGATTAGGAGGAACTTAACGGAGGACCATGGGGGAGAAGGGGGGAAACGGGGGGAGAGGGAGGAAGGCAAACCATGAAGAGACTCTTGAATGTTGAGAACAAACTGAGAACTGATGGGTATGGGGGAGAGGGGAAGGGGGGTGATGGGCACGGAGGAGGGCACTTGTGGGGATGAGCACTGGGTATTGTATGGAAACCAACATAACAATAACCTATTAAAAAAATAAAAAATAAATAATTTTTTTAAAAAAGCATGAAAAAAAAATAAAGGGCACACCTAGACAGTCCACAAACTGGGGCTCAGAAAGTACAGTCCCAGGCACCTGCTCCCCACCACCAGATTGCTAACGAGCAACTTCTCCCCTTCGTGCATTGGACTGTCCCCTTCAAACTTGTCAGATCCCAGGGGACTAAGGTAGAGAAATGACAGCAAAAAGGAAGGGGGGTGGGGAGGAAAGAAGTGGACCAAAGGGAAAAAGAAAAAAAATTGGGCAAAAATAGGATTTGCTTCCAGATCCTTTCCTAACCCAGTACCAGCATGTAGAATCTCTAATGAGTTAAGGCGGCTATATCTCAAATCAAAAACTGGGAGTTGACTTTTTAAAAAAAAATAAAATAACAAAAGGTCACCAGACACAGGATAAGAAGCGTACACCTGTGCCTCAGCCTATAGTTACTCTGTCTATACGCGTGAACTACGAAAAGAACAAAGAAAACAATTAGCAGGATTTTCACTTACGTTAAGAGTTCAAACATCCTTACCGCATTTCATCACCTTGCTACTGAGTTACTGACGCTTTACCGTCTGTTGTGCCGAATGCCTTAAAATTCTCTCTCTCCCCCTCTCTCTCTGCCCCTCCCCTCAAAATAAATAAACTTAAAAAAAAAAAAAAAAGAAATCAGTATTATTGGCCTCCAAGTCATGTAGGTAGTGAACGGCTGACCGGGGCAGGAACCCAGGTCATCAGAATCTACCCACAGCACATCTCCCACCCCAGCACGATGCACCAGAGATACTCGACAGCCTTTAGTACCAAAATTATAACAGGCTGGAGCTTTTCCCCCCTCTATCGACATCTTCCAACATTCTCAAGTTGAGGATATTTCTACCAACAATGTCAAAAAGGAATACCATCTGTCAAAGAGGCCTGTCCAAAGACAAAGTTCCAGGAGTCACGTGGGTAAAGATCGATCATTGTGATTCCCACAATACAAAAGGCATCTCCAGGCTTCTGCTTCTTTAAGAACGTCAGGATGTGCCCTGTTTAAAAAGAGATGTACATGTGGGATACGGATGTCTGTCCGCACATGCATCTCCATATAAACCTGTGCATAGACCTCCCTTACTCAGTTCCAATTGTCAAGCAGCTTCAATTACCTGCGTGAATTTGTAGGTTTTTTGTGTTCTCGTTGACTCTAAAGGAACACCTCGTGGCGGAGACAGGAACCGGTTCTAGAAGTTTCACTGTTAGGCCATAGAAAAATGCTTCACAGTAACCCTTGAGCCATTTAATATATTCTTCACTGATAATTCTGGTATTTCCTAAAGAGCCTATAAGGTGGAAGAAAATGTAAAGACGGACTCAAAGATGATTAAAACAGTCAGTCTTTACCTCAGTCTCTAATTAGAAATTTGAAATTAGAAGCAAACGGACTCTAAATCTTCAATAAACCTGTATCACTCATGGATGCGAATATGAATTAGAAAGAAACAAAATGTCCTCTTTTAAGGCAGCTTGGGTACAAAACTTCCACTACTGTCAAAAATGATCACAGGTGCGCCTGGGTGGTTCAGTCAGTTAAGCGTCTGGCTTCGGCTCAGGTCATGATCTCGAGGTTTGTGAGTTTGAGCCCCGTGTCAGGCTCTGTGCTGACAGCTCAGAGCCTGGAGCCTGCTTCGGATTCTATGTCTACCTCTCTCTACCCCTCCCCTGCTCACACTCTGACTCTGTCTCTGTCTCAAAAAGTAAATAAACATTAAAAAAAAATTTTTTTTAAAGATCATAAAAACGGCCCACTCGAATGAGATGGGCAACCCCGGCTACCCCTGGCGACAGCCCCACTGCAAACCAAACCAAACCAAACCCGGCCTGTTACCAATGCACTGTATATAAATACTGCGTTTCTCCGGAGATGGTGCTTTTCTGTACGGGTCACTGAAAAACTGTTCAAAGTCTTGGGGAGCCTCAGGGTGGGAGATGATCCAATCCGATTGCGAATGCAACGTAATGGGCCCAAAGAGATCATGGTCTGGCTTGAAGGCTTCGTTCAGCAAACGCCTTTCCCCAGCTTCTAACTTCTCATACTGTGACACGAGCGCTGGGTTCTCGGAGATGAGGGCTGTTTTCAGTGTGTGTTCTGAGTGCCGTACTGTTTCCATCTACCAGCAAAACACAAGGGATCAAATATACAATGCGGATCCATCCCGGTGACTTTAATCTACCTACCCTCCACCTACGTGTCTAATTTCTCCCTAGAATGGAAAAGCGATTGCTTTTTTTTTTTAATTCCCACCAAACAACTGTTTTTCCCCCTCCTCTCATTTCCAATCAATTTCCTGGGGGAGAGTATCTGAAAAAGTGAAAAGAAAAACCATGAAATTCATCCCTTCTTAAGGAACTTGCTCCTATTATAAAAACCGTAAGAGAATGACCTGATTGCCTACTTCCTTCTGTCATTTGGGTAACAATATTGCGAACTGACTCATCAGAGCCACATGAAAAATACTCAGCCTTTCCAAGGTGACTCAAAGATGTTCCAGACGCCACAAAAAAGAGAACTGATGTCAAGTCTGCCCATTTCTGTAATTTAGCTGCGGGCTCCTAACAGACCTCAGCCACTGAAGTTTATTGCCTCAAAGTCATCATCACCCTGGGGAAGCCATCAGGTGACTAATCAAAAGCCAGACTCACAATGACAGGTCTCTTCCAGTCACATCGTGTTCCTCTAGAGAGCTGTCATCCTTCCTTCAAACGGCTGCTCCAGCACGAGGCTTTTTGAGTTAGAAAAGAAAAAAAAAAAAAAACCAACTTAAACGTCGCTATCTGGAACCTATCATATCTTCTAATGATCTAGATGTCTCCAGTTTAATGACTGACAATATGGTGGGAAAATTTCAGCTAATGCCTGTTCGGATTGGAACAGAATCCTGGGGTTCCAGAGCGTGGAAGAAATTCTCAAACCGAGGTCACTCTTGTCAAAGCTCTGACAGATGCTGAGCCTGGTCCTCCCTGCTCCACAACTGGGCTGAAGTTTCACGGCTCCTACAGGACAAAATACCAAACTGTGCCCTCCTATACTCTACCTACCGTTAGGGAGGAAGGCTCCCGTTCAAGGCTTTGCTTTTACAGGGACTGGCATGCCTGGGCCTGGACGAGAAAGCGCTGTGCCGCGGGGGGAAGGGGGGGGCGGGGGGAGCCTTCACCCTAATATTGAAAAGGGAGTGTGATAGGTCGGGGGAGGCCTCCCAGGTCGGCTGCCTGGAGCCCCGGGAGGCAGAAGATCGCTTCAGTGGGCGGGGGGCCTGCAGCGCTGGCAGCGCTAAAACCGGCACATCCTGCGCCAACCTGGACAAGGTGGTTACCCTAGCTGGTTGCTATAGCAACCTGCACCTCGGGCTGAGCCCCCCAGCGACCGCAACCCGGTAGCGGGATGGGGTGGGGGATCCCCCGGGGACTCCCGCTGCGACTTTCCGCCCGGAGGACGCCTCCTTGCTCCCAGGAGACGCCCCCGCCCCCGCGGTCCATCCTTGCTTCCGCCGCGGCGGCCCCGCCCACAGCCTCATCCCTCCCCCACCCACCGCGACCCTCCGTGTCCTCTCCAACTAGGGTCCCAGCCGCGGAGGCCACGGCCCGCATCTGAGGTTCCCACCGCACGGCCCTCACCAAGCCAGGCCTAAACGTCGCCCGCCTCCTACGGCGGCTCCAGCGCGCGCGCACGACGCGCCCTTCGCCGTGCCACGCCCCCGCCGGCGCCACGCCACGCCCATCGCACCACGCAGGGCTCCGCCGCGCCACGCCCCCACGCCCTGCCACGCCCCACGCCCTGCCACGCCCCCACGCCCTGCCACGCCCCCACGCCCTGCCACGCCCCCACGCCCTGCCACGCCCCCACGCCGCACGCCACGCCCCGTAGCGTGAAGCTGTCTCGCAGGCTCGGAGCCCGCATTCGATTGGCGGTCGTGCTCCTCGTCTCTGCGAGTTGGGGGCGGGTGGCGCGGGGTCACGAGGCGTCGAAGTCAGGTCCCGCGGTCGCCTCCTGACCCCCCCCCCCCGTCCCAGGTGGTCCCTCAAGGGCCGCCCCCGGGGCAGCTGGGGTGGGGCGCCCCGCCGGAGGCCGTGGTTCCCCCTCGGGCCGCGCTGGCGTCGCCGGTTTGTGGGTTTGCGAGTGTGCGCCGGGGGAGCCCGGGTGTGAGGAGCGTCCTCGGCGTGACCAGCGTAACCATCCGAGTCCAAAATAAGTCAGCTGTGGCCGCAGGTTGACGCACAGCCCGGGCGCGCGCCCCCGTGCCGTCACCCGCTGGACTTTCCCTTCTTTGGCGGCGGCGCCTGCAGCGGCCTCCGCGCGGCCACGACCGCGAATGGCGGGTGGAGGGCGGCCCGGAGGAGGGGGCCGGACCGGCAGGGTTTCTCTCCACCCAGGGATGCCTCCCTTGGTGCTTCGCTGGTGCTGAAAAGCCCCAAATGCGTGTGTCGGAGACAAGTAGGAAAAAAGGCATGGGCGGGCGTTAGGACGGAACTAGCTGCGTGGCCTTGGGTAGGCCGGTTAACCTCTCTGGGCCCCATGGGTCTCCTGTGGGAAGATGCCAGGAGCGAGCTCTGATCCCTGAAGCCCCTCCAAGCCCTGGGAAGTTGTATGTGAACTCTGATCCCCTGGCCCAGCCCTCTACAGCCCCTTCATGTCCCAGTGTTGGTGGGACATGGTGGTCAGCCATGATGCCACCTCGTACTGCCAAGGACAGATCACTGACCTAATCACCGTCCCCTCTCCCTTCAAGGGTACGAGCCTCCAAGCAATCGCACCCCCCTCCCATCCCAGCTCGGTTCGTTCTTCCCCAAGTTCGCCCCATGCCCATCACTCCATACACACACCAGCTTCCTACAAGGAACCCCGGAAAACCCTAGCCCGTGTCCTCAAACCTCCACCTTTCCCCTCAAGTTCTCCTCCCAAGAACCTCACCTTCAGGGACACTAGCCATGTCCCGGGACATCGCTTCTTCCCTCCAGCCTTCACTCAAAAATACCCCCGAGCCCCAGTTTTCATGTCCAGGCCACCGTGCTACTAGTACAGAGCAATCTCTAGTCTTCTGAAGTTCAGGCCATTTTACCAGAGTCTGGTTTGTCGGCATCCTAATCCCCCTTCCCACCTCCAGGAAGGACGCCCGTGATGAGTTCAGCCTTCGTCTGATGCTTACCTTCTCCACCCTCAACCCCTTGTCTCTCCTTAGAGAGCCTTGGCTCGATAAAGGCTTGATCTTTTCAACTCCAGTGATCACCTGGGTCTCTCATTTGTTTATTCCCCCTGGATCTGGAAATGTCCAAAGTCATTCTTTGGTCACACTGCCCATTTCCGTCCTTACCGGGACCGCACTCTTCAGTGAGTGCACTTCTACCATTCCTGTGCCCCAAGTTTCAAGCTGAGAACGTCAGTGTGTCCCTCACGCTGTGCCCCAGAAGCAGCAAGCTTTCTTGGATGTGGTGCCTTTTGACTGAATGCCAGCCTCCAGACGTGCCGAGAGTCCGAGAGTCCGTGTAGCCCAGGGGCTAGGAGGAAGGTCTGGGTTCGGCCCCTGGAACGCCTGTTCATTAGCATCTGGCCTGCGTGAATTATTTAACCTCATGCATCTCTTCCCTGGTTCGTGTAACAGAGATAACAATAGCACAGACGTTCTATAGTTTTAGGGATCAAGTGTGTTAACTTTGGACATTTTAACTCTCCATCGAATGGCCTTCTGACATCCTGAGAGGCTTCGCTGAGCTCAGAGTTCGCCTCTTCCATAGAGCTCTCCCCGACCCCACTTCCCCTCCAATGGTCATTGCCTTGCGTATACTGCTATCATCGTCCTCGTCATAATGATTATAACTTGTGTCTCCCCCCTTTTCTATTTTAATGCTTTATTTATTTCTGAGAGAGGGAGAGAGAGACAGCAGGAGCAGAGAAGGGCCAGAAAGAGAGGGAGACACAGAATCTGAAACAGGCTCCAGGCTCTGAGCTGTCAGCACAGAGCCCAATGCAGGGCTCGAACCCACGAACTGTGAGATCATGACCTGAGCCAAAGTTGGCTGCTTAACCGACTGAGCCACCCAGGTGCCTCTGTGTCTCCCTTTCTAAACTGTGAGATGCTTAAAGGTGAACACTCTCATTCAACGTATCTGGAACGAAAGTTATTCATTACGTTTTTCTTCAACTCGTATTCATTAACAAGAATTTTTCACTTGAACTATTTAAATTCACTTCCTGGATTAAAAAAAAAAACTTTGTGGTTGCCCCCAAATTTTGGAAGGATACCGTATTTCTGTACAGTCCCTAAGTATGTAATATCTATTGTTTAAAAAATTTAGTACATTGTGTTTGTTAAGCTTTATTTTTAGAATAAAAAGATATATAATTTCTATTTTTTCCCTCTGAACCATTTGAGAGAAAGTTGCCGACATGATGTCTCTTTACTCCTAAATACTTTAGCATATCTTTTCTAAAACCAAGCACGTTTTCATAAATAAATATGCATTTCATAGCAGTGTGAACGCATGTTTTAACTGTACCTCTTCACCCTTCCCCCTCAACCATTCGAGTTCAAGCCCTGCATCAGGTTCTCTGCTGTCAGCTCTCTCTGCCCCTCCCCTCTGCATGCGTGCACACTCTTGTGGGCATGTGCTCTCTCTTTCTCTCTCTAAAAATTTAAAAGAAAATAAATAATATACCTTACTAAATCTATGAAAATACTTCAAGTACATTTTTAAAAGCCAAATCATACTGAAAGAGTTGTAATGAAAAGTAACAGCCCTGCCCCATAGACCAACTTCCAAGAGGCTCTCAGCTCTTCTCCCTGATATTTTTGTCATATTTCTGAACAGCGTGCATATGACGAGGTTTCGTGATCCATTGGTTTAAGGCAGCATCTATTGATTTTTTGCCATGAGAGATGGAGACTGACTTGTCCACACATCCTCACACGGCTCACCCCCTCACTCCCTGACGTAGACGTAGCACAACTTTTGACTGATTCTGTGATCAACACGTCCACCATGATAACTATTCATTGTTCATTGGAAACCCAAGCAGTGTGCTTTGACCATGCTTCCTTGACTGAGAGTTTCCCTGGAGGGGTGTGGAATTTTAGGTGAAGAATCTTGAGAATCTTGCCTCAGCATTAGGAAGGGTTTATTCCATTTTCTCTGACAATATTGTAATCGTTTAGATTCCTAATCCTTTGTATGTTACCTGGGTGATCTTGGAATCTTCCCTTCATCTTAGAGTCCTGGCAAACTCTACGTTTTTTAAGTATATATGCTTATAAGTCTTTTAAAGACGTGACCTGGTCTGAGCTTTATTTCTCCCCATTCATTTTGCTGCTCATTCAGCGGGCTCTTCCATCTCGAGTCTCTTACCTTTCCATTCTGAGAAATTTCCTTCTCTCCGTATTTGCTGGATGTGGGACTTCCAAGCTGGATCCTCTCATCTTCTTATCTTTCTGTTTTTCCATCCATCTTTTTGTACCATTTTCTGAAGTTTTCACCAGCTATCTTCTGTCTTTTCTTTTGAGTATTTTTTCCCAAACATTCTATCCTTTAATAGCCAAATGTTCTTTCTTGTTCAGATTGTTTATTTTACACCTTTTCTCATTTAATGGATAAAATGTCTTCTCCTGTTTCTCTTTGGATGTGAACTGTGCTGTGCTCGCTTCGGCAGCACATATACTAAAATTGGATGTGAACTATGCTATTTTTTGAAGTTTCATTCTGTTGTTTCCTCTGTTTGGGTCTTTGTCTTTCATGTTATAACTTTCCACAAACATTTGAGGATCCTCAGCTATCTGTTAAGATTTTGTCATGAAGCATCAACAAAGCTGGTTGATGGGTTTGGGGACATGAAAGCAGCTTATCCACTGGGGGTTCTCAAGGGTGACCTGGCAGAGAACCAGCTGACTCACTGAGGGGAGATTCCCTAGTTTCCGAACCTGTGACTATCCCCCGCTCTTTTTTTCTTTTCAAAAAAAGAATTGTTTCCTGACTACCTGTGTTCTCGAAACAGGGTGCAGTAAGTAGCTTGAGTACCCCACTAATGAGTGAGCAGTTTTTGAACCCTTAACCCCCTTGTTTTCATCCTCTGTCATTTACTGCCCACAATGATTCTCAAGTGTCAACCCATTTTAACACGAGAA